CTTGAAAGCATCATTATTGAGGCACGACAAGGCCCTGTGCATGGAGAGACAGTTAATGTCATAAGTGACTGGTTTAAAGAGGCAGTAGGCAAGGTTCAAGAGGAAGATAGTGTGAATCTGAAGACCTATCAGGACAAAAGTAAGTAGCAGATGCTAAGATAATATGATCAATCTAACCTAGTCACTAACATGTTTAACTAGCATTCTGTCTTACCAGCGGCAAATATCAAGGCAGTTTTAAGGCGCCCGACAGTTCTATCCAGGAGAAGGGATCCTTTTTTCCTTTGATAGCTCTTGAAATTGCTTTCTCATCCACCAGGAAAGATCTGCTTGAAGATGCAAAGGCCTGGTTGTATGGAACCAACAACATCACTGAGCTAGTTATTGCAATTGATATTAAGGAGCAAAGTGGTAAAAACAACAGCAAAGAAGAAGACTCGTGTTGGGGCTTATCAGACCCAGAGATTCTTCAGCGTTTTAAGACTGATTATGCCCTTGCTGCCCATATCATCAGATGGGATCAGGATCATGGAAACTGTTCACTTGTGGGAACATTTACAGCTGAGATGTGGTTCTGCACCAGAGAAACATGCCATCCAGACTCAACAGAACTTCCTCCCTCTTTATGGACTTATATATTCTCCCTCAGCAAACCTCTTCAAGAAGGCAAGTTTTTCAAAACCTTCCATAGCACTGGGTCCCTTAGCAAAACTTTTCGTCAGAAAATTTGCGAACTTGAAGACAAGCTACCTCTAGAAGCATTGGAGCGTCAATTGAGGGATTCTCTTGAAGATTATCGACAAGACAGAGCCTTAATTCAGGCGCGCAAGAAACGGAAGGCTCTGGAGGAGGTGGAGGAGAGAAGAAAGCAAAGAGAAGACAAAAAGAGGAAACAACAGGACCATCAAGAACTTCCTCAAACAGCGCGGGCTCAACAAGCGGGAAAACGGCAGAAGAGATATGAAGAATGAGATTTGGTCCCCAAAAATGGACAGAGAGGGTAAAACAAGGAAGTGGTCAACATTTCTCTAAGGTTGAGCCACCAAAAAAAAAAGATTTTGGTCAGTGTACTATTTAAAATGTTTGGAGATTGTGATTAGTTGGAACTGGTATTCGGCCAACGCATGCTCTTCTCTTATTAACCACAGAAATTCTATGGGAAATTGTTGTTTTGCTTTTTTTTTTCTTTTTCTTACCTTCACCCCCACTGGCTGCTCATTGCTTTAAGAGAATATGGCTACAATGTCCCCTTTTTTGGGTGAAGACATTAATGCCATACATTCTATTTTATGCTACTTGCAATGAACTAGTTAGAAACATTTTTAGTCTATTTTAAAACCACTAAGCCATGGACAATAATACTGTCCAATCTTGTTATCCCAAATTTGAAGTTTTTCCTACCAGATATATTCACTGTTCTTTGCATCCACCCTCAACATGATACCAGCGTTCAGCATAGTGAAAAGCGCAAAAATAATGGGGTCTCAGGCTCCAGGTTGCAGGGTCAGGTGCTGCTTTTAGCATGAAGTCATTTGAGTCAGCTTTGGAGAATGGAGTTGAGGCAGTGTCTCACCGATACGCTTGATCGCTACTTGGAGGAATGACCGTCATACACACTTTTTGATTCCTTGCAGTACTAACGTTTATCCTAGTAAAATAGTTTTATATGAATGGACGTTCAAGAAAAGACAATCAACTTTTTATTACTATGAATTAGGACTCCTTCCTGACAAAACGATAGTTATAGAAGATCATAATCAAGGAAACTTAGGCTAATAACAAGCAGGACTTTTGCAGCGTTTGGCCTCATTCCATTTCGTGCATGTTTTGAATAACCGTCTCCTTCCGGGTGATATTGCCAGAATTCCTCAACCCTCGAGCGTATTTAGTGCGTTTGAGAAGCCTCATGAAATCCAGCCAACGACTTCATCCGCTAAGGTTTCCGTCCATATACGACATGGATTGGGATGTACATATGAAGGTCGGGATTCTTTACTTCTTTCTTTGCATTTGCCATCAGGACCGCGATTTCCTCTTGACTCCATCCAAGAACGCGTGAAAACATGGCAGGCGTATACGACTCGATCGCTTGGATCTGCTGGTACTCTTGCAACTCCCCGGCTTGCTTGCGCTCTGGATCATCAGGCCATTTGCCAATTGCGTTCTGCATCCCCGTCAGGTTCTATCTATTTCCACTCAGGACAGGACAGGACAGTGGTTGTTAACTCACCTCGAGGATTGTCTCTTGTACGTCCACAAATCCCGCCTTTTTCAATTTGTCTTTCCATTCGGGGACATTGTGGAATGGTTTACCGAATTTGATACCCCCGTCACGAAGGCCCTTCACCCACATCTGACAGTATTTTGCCTTTTCAGCGGTATTGTCGTGGGAGAGAAAGTAAGGAGCTGCACACTGCAGCTCGATATAACCACCCGACCTTAGATGCTTGAAGGCTTGACGGAACAAGCGCTCGTCATCAGCTATACACCCCTCCAGTTCCCGGCCGTGTATGAAATCAAAAGGAGTGGTATACACCCATTCCTCCTCGAAGTCATCTATTTCAAAGATACAGTTCGGTGGGAGCCTATATAATCAATCAGTGTCAACTCGATGGATATAGTACCACTCGGATACTCGGATACCATCTGGGTTGTATCGGGCTCAAATCAGTCCCAATAACTTGCGCAGATGGATGCTCACTAGAAACATCCCGTCAGTTACGATGTCCAGTTTGGAAGGCGGTGGAATAAAAAAAAAGAGCTCCTTACTCGGCAAAATCAATCGCCCACATGCCAGTTCCAGTGCCAAGGTCGAGCACTCGCTGAGGATTTGGACTGATAGGTGCCAAATGGAGTTTTCCCCCCATTAGAAGATAGTATACGTGATGCACCAGGTCCATTCGGTCCTGCTCTTGTTCATCATTTGGCTGTTTTAAAAAAAAAGTCAGCGATTTATCGTTAGATAATTGGTCGCAGGAAAAAAGTACCGCCAAGTACGCCCCATCATGGTATGCGTGATAACGACGCCCGTGCTATATATATATAGTACTGTCAGCGGCTTTGCAAGTCAACTGATATTCTTCTGCAGGGCTCACCTCGAATCTACAGACTCACGCGGGAGCCTGTTAGACATGGAAATAATATATCGAAAAGAGGGTGACCAGATTACCTGTATTTCCTTATGCTTGAACTGATGGACGTTAAGAAGCTACTAGTCCTTTCACTGCTCTCATCAATTAGTGATTCTATACTTTTTTTAGGAAAAAAAAGAAAAGAAAAAAGAAAAAGAGAAAACACTCACGTGTCGTAAGCCGAGTCTAGGTCCTGGGAAGCATCCTGCTAGGGAAGATCATATTAGTTCAAAGTCCATCGTCGTAGCCAGCTATTACTCACATCAACTTGTGGTTCGACTTGTGGTGGATTTTCGGTCGTTGGTGGCTGATTGGAGGGTGCCGAAGTCTCTGCTCCCTGACCTGCAGTCTGCGCTTCCTGCTCTGGATCCCCAGCCATGTTATCTGCTTGTCCTTCAGTATTATCGTATGGGTACAGAGACGCTGCAGCAGTGCAAATTGAGACAGCCTGACAAGGGGAGGGGCAGTGTGGGAGACAGGTGTTTATTAATGTATTTCTAATATGCCAGAACCTCTTAGGCGCTTGATAGGTAGGCCAACACTTCACGTTTTTGAATTAACCACCACACACACGTTTATTCTATGGTAGCTTACTCCGCACGTTGCCGTATTTCCCCGCTAGCGTATCCCAGTCAAAAAAGCGGATTGGCCTGCTAAAACCGGCCTGATAGCCAATTTGAGCAACGTGCAGGCGCCTTCTGTCGCTTCGGAAATAGTTTCCGTTCCAACAGTCTGGCCTCGCTATAGCAGTGCAGTCACCGCAACTCAATATTATCGCTAGTACCCGTATATCGCTCTGCTGAGTACCACCTTGATGTTCTTTCTAGGCAAGAAGGACTGTAGCGCCTGCAAAGCTTACTCCGTCGGTATAGACTGCCCCTTCTTTAATATCCTCTTCCTGTTCGTTTGAATCCATATTTGTCTATATATGGTATTATATAAGAGTTGCAAGAACATCCTCATCTTGGGGGTTCAAGAATTTCTGTAGAAGTATTACTTAAGAGAGTATTATTCCCTGAACCCATGTCAGTTTGACAATACTTACGATCTTAGTGCATACACGATGTACTGTACAGCAAGGAAGGTCAAAAGGGTGTGAGCGCGTCATATGAACAGAGGAGAGAATTTGATAGCAGGCACAGGACAAGAGCAATCATAATGGAATAGAGGTTAGGTTTGACGGAGTACAACATCCATGATATAACCCCCACCAGGCAAGTCTGAATTTAAATTCCTTTCTGCAAGCCAGATAGATTCAACCGAACTCCGGTTAGAGTTATGTGGTGCGGGGAGGTGGCTGCCACAACCATAAAGAGACAGAACCAGGGGTATGACATCAGCAAAAGTGTTTTTCCTTTAAAATAAAGGTTATCTTCCAAATAGCAGAGCCATGCAGCTTCTAGTATGTAAGCGCTTAATTTTAACTTATACTACTACCTATTTTTCTGAAGAGGAGTAAGCTTCTTAACTATGGAGTACTTTCTCCGCCATATTCCGTAGATTCACCCACCTCGAGATTACTCACCTGGACTACTAGAAGCTGTCCCGAGCAGAGTCTGCAGACTCCTATTGTCGTGCTACGCCATCGTATCTCCATCAGTGGAGTACATGGGCATCCCATTGTCAGATCACAGGGATGATCCATGGTTACGGGACACTCACGTGTATGGATCGCCCATTACATGTATGTACATACGGAGTAGTCAATAGACATGGCATTAAATCGCTAAATCTATGCCTCGATACATGTATGCATGCATGCATACTATTGGACTTGACGACCATGACAATTCTAAAATTAAATGAGCTATTCTTCCTCTCGCAGAATAGAACACTTCTATTTGACAGGCAAATATAATCTTAACTTATAAATGGTTGCTTAACTGGTTTGTATTAGAAAAGAAAAGATAGACCAGAAGGTGAAGACAGCAACATATAGACAAGTTCTAGATTGGGAAAGAGTACATCATCATTATCATATATTTCTGGGCAATATAGCAAGTTAATCTTCTACAAGTACAATTATTGACAGTTAATAGCCGTAGTCATGGAAGATATCAATTTTTCCCATGCTTGTCATTGATTTGCCCCAACTCCAGGTAATGCTCTCGTCTGAAATCGTGTCAGCGTGAGGATACTTGTGCTCGACGCTCGGTTCGGTTGAGAGGAACAGTGGCCAGCGACAGTTAATCGGGTTCATCTCTGATGGAGTGGACGCGAAGACCCGATACAACGTGCATGTTGTGCGTGAGCCCGCGCAGGACATTCATTTGCAATCGCTGGAAGNGATCTCGGCTGCTT